TCCAGCTGAAACTTTCATCAAGGGCTTAATTGAGCCTCATCTTCATACCCACCTCTTTGTAAATTGAAACAAGATAATGTAGTTCTACTAGGAGGAAACAGATAGATAGATGAGTAAATAAAAATACTTTCATCTAAGAATAAGGGGCCAGAAGGAACAGTGACCTCTAGTGTTCATAGGGAGAAGAGCACATGAGCAGTCAAGGTGACTGCCCTCATCTTGCTTGAAATCACTGGAGAAACCCTGACCCAGCCATGAATTCTACTTCACTTTTCATCTACATACTTTTATTTATTATTACATAAAATATCATGTAAATATATTATATATTAAATATACTATACTGTAATATGTAATAAATAAATATAATATAATATCCGGGGCCGAGACCTCCAAGCCTACTCGAATTGGAGTCAAGCATCTTCCACACAGATCCTCCAAATTCCAGTAGGCGGGGGTCACACTCACCACCTGGCCCCCTGGCGCCGTGTAATCCCATCAGCGGCCAAGACTCAGAGACTATAAAATGCAGATCCCGGACGAGAACAGTGCAGTCTTTTGCCCCCGCGCCTGGGTGTCCCTCGCCGGGACCCCTTGGAGGGGAGCGGGTCGAGCTTTCCTCCCTGCCCCGACCGGGGCTCCGGCAGCCGAAGACCTCCAGGACCAGCCACCACCATGCTGAGACCACTCTCCGCACACATGAAGGTACTGGCAGAGGGACAAAGCCACGCGGGTTCCGGGGCTGAGACCTCCAAGCCTACTCGAATTGGAGTCGAGCATCTTCCACCCAGATCCTCCAAATTCCAGTAGGCGGGAGTCACACCCACCACCTGGCCCCCTGGCGCCGTGTAATCCTATCAGCGGCCAAGACTCAGAGACTATAAAATCCAGATCCCAGAACCGCGTGGCCGCGAATGCTGCCGCGCAACATCTTATCAAAACTTTTCTTTATGACATCTTATTGTCTCATTCCTACTTTGGACAAACTTGCAGGCTATCAAATGTAGCCTGCCCACAGGGCAGAGTCTGGCAAACTCCCCGTGGCGTACCAAATATGCCAAATACCAGTAACAATGATGGGTCTCATTCTCCTAAAGAGCCGTGAATATAATCTCAGGGCTAGGATGAAAGAGACGTTACTGGGGCCTGCTCGAGACAATCGACGATTAACAGGATGATGAAATGAAATGAAATATAATATAATATATAATAGCAACACTGGCCTCCGTTGTTCATCAATTTGCTCGAGCGGGCCCAGTAATGTCTCCATTTTGAGACTTGTTGTTACTGTGTTTGGCATATCGAATACATCACGGGGAGCTTTCCAGGCTTTGGCGTGCAGGCAAGATACTCTCGGTAGCTTGCCGGGCTCTCCGAGAGGGGCGGAGGAATTGAACCCGCGTTGGCCAGGTCAGTCTCGGCTGGGCTGGCTGTGCACAAGGCAAACGCCCTACCACTGTGCTATTGCTCCAGCCCATATGATAATATATATAATATTTTAATATAATTATATTTTAATATATATAATATAATATATATATTTTGAGCCATGTACCCAGACCTGGAAAAGTATTTATTATAAATATACTTTATATGGGCTGGAGCAATAGCACAGCGGTAGGGCGTTTGCCTTGCACGCAGCCAACATGGCCGACCCGAGTTCGATTCCTCCACCCCTCTCGGAGAGCCCGGCAAGCTACCGAGAGTATCTCGCCCGCACGGCAGAGCCTGGCAAGCTCCCCGTGACGTATTCGATATGCCAGACACAGTAACAACAAAGTCTCCAATGGAGACGTTACTGGGCCCGCTCGAGCAAATCGATGAACAATGGGAGGGCCTTTACCTTTTTATACTTAATATATATATATATATATTCATATGTATATGTACCCAGACCTTTCACAGCCAAGCAAGCACTGAAGCTTTTTGAGCCATGTACCCAGATCTTCTGCTCCACGGGAGGTTTCTGTCCTCCCTGAGCTCCCCTTAGGATACCTGAGTTACCGTTTGACAGATGAACAGCCCCAGTCAAACTCCCCATCTGGCACTGTCCCCAGAGCGGGTCATGCCCAACCGGACTGGAGTGATAGCACAGAGTAGGGTGTTTGCCTTGCATGCAGCCAGCCTGGGGTTGATTCCTCTGCCCCTCTCAGAGAGCCTGGCAAGCTACGGAGAGAATCATGCCCGCAAGGAGAGCCTGGCAAGCTACCATGGCATATTCAATATGCCAAAAACAGTAACAAGTCTCACAATGGAGACATTACGGGTGCCCGCTGGAGCAAATTGATGAACAATGGGAGAAAAGTACTACAGTGCTACAGTACCCAGACCTTGAAAAGTATATATTATGTATACTTTATATATGTACTCATAAAATATACATAATATATACTTTTTTAAGTCTGGGTACATGGCTCAAAAAGGTAGAGTGCTTGCTTGGCTGTGGAGGGCCTGGATTCGATCTCTGGCACCTCATAATACACCCCAAGTACCTCTAGGAGTAGCGCAAACTAAACAAGCAAACCGTAGTTTTGGCAGGGAGGCAGTACAAAGACTTTCTCTGGATGTGTGTTTATTTATTTTTGGAACCCAGTCCTAACACTTGTAAATCACTGAGGCTTGAACCAGCTACTGGAGTTTTCATATCTGTGAAAAGATGAATTGTAAAACTCTCCTCACGTGAATGTTTTGAGAGTTAGTTGAGGTGGTTGTGCGGGTATTTTATCTAGTGGGTTACATATAGATATACAATTGGTGCTAGCTATAGGAAGGCCTATAGGTGCAGCTTAACCTACCTTCGTGCATTTCCCTTTCCATAAGACTTAGTAACTTAGTATTTCCTAGGCCCCAGAACATTCCGTTCACCAGTTTGTGACCTCTTTGAATATTGGCTAACATGGCTGGCCTTTTCCCCAGGGAGGTAGCTTAAAATATAAATAATCTATATTGCATATACAGATCCATATATACACAAGTACATAATATATGTAAATACATGCACCTATCTATATCTTTATACTTAATTACATAAAATTCTAAAGGGTAATATATATACACTTAAGCAGCTAATGACCAGCTTATATATCTTCATGCTTATATACACATATATGGGAAACACTGCATTGTCCTCCTGTTGTTCATCGATTTGCTCAAGTGGGCACCAGCAACGTCTCCATTGTGAGACTTGTTATTACTGTTTTTGGCATATTGAATACGCCACGGGGAGCTTGCCATGTTCTGCAGTGCGGGCGGGATACTCTCGGTAGCTTGCCGGCTCTCCAAGAGGGACAGAGGAATCGAACCTGGGTTGGCCGCCTGCAAGGCAAACACCTTACCCACTGTGCTGTGGTAAAGTAAAAAAATACAAGAAGAGGGGGGAGGTTAAAGGAAAAGAATCCCTGTACATTTTCCACAGTTACCTTCTACACTGAAAGTTGTTCAAGAAACCCTAGCTGAGAAATCTTATAATATGGCAAGGCAGAGTCAAGAGAGTGGAATTGCTGATGATTCAAGGTTCCCAATAGCTGCCAGTGTGGTTTTGCTCAAACATTCAGTCCCATCTGCTCTATATATTGTATAATTCACAGTGCTCAAGCTAGGAAGGTGACTGTTTTTGTTCAAGTTTACTAATGTCATGCCAAACCCAGCCAAACAGGGTGGTTGACAACTTCTAAATAGTGATAAATAGCGGAAGACAAGTATTTCATCTTACCTTCTTTTTGGTGGGGGGGGGGGGGGTGGGGGTCACACCTGGCAATGCACAAGGGTTACTCCTGTCTTAGCACTTAGGAATTACAACTGGCGGTGCTTGGGGGACCATACGGGATTCTGGGAATCGAACCTGGGTTGGCCACATGCAAGGCAAATGCCCTTCCTACTGTACTATTGCTCCAGCCACACACCTTATCTTCTTTAAATGTTTGTTCTCCCCTCAGGCACCATGGTTTGCAGTATTGTTAATGATAAAGTTTAGGGCATCCAGTGTTCCAATGCCAGACCTAACTGGAGAATGTCTGTTCCTCCACCAATGCCTCAAATTCCCCTCCCACTCCCTTGACACACTCAGTTCTGTAGGCAGACTGTGGCATTTGTAACTACTCCATTGCTGTTTCTTTACTATGTTTTATCTTCCCTTCTTGAGAGATGTGACCCAGAAAAGTCTGCTAAAGAAAGCTTTTTATGATTGCTTCTGAGTGTACCAGCCACACACAGAAGAATCAGAAACTTGAGTCTATTTTGCTGAATTTGTCTTTTTGGACTACTACTTACCAGGGCATGTGTCTGAGCCCCAACGCCAGGATGGATGGACCTCACTCCATATTTCAGTTGTCATTGTTTGCAATAGTCAGTCTTCTTACTGATGTGACATCACTTCTTTGAATGAATGCCACATGAGAGAAGGTGGGGAATACATTGGCTTTCCCATAAGAGATGGTGACCTCTGGATTACAAAAAGATCACGCTCAGTACATTCTGCAAATGAGATTCTGAGTCACAAATGTACACGCATATATTTTATTGGGAGTGGTAGATAAGTCAATGACAGAAAGTCCTAAGGATAGTACTAGATTTGGTCTTCCTATGCTCTCATTTTAGAAATTGTGTTTTGTAGGAAATAAATATTTATGACAATGTTTCTATTAGTTGGGACCAGCCACCACTTTCATTAGTTAGTTGTAATGCAGATTGAATCAGTCAAGGATTAATAGTACATCATTTTTTGGCATTTAAAGGCATGTTTCTTCAACAGATACTATTTGGGAGGACTTCTTGAATTTTTTTTAATTCTTGAGATATGTTGGTTTCTTGTAAATTATAGCACAAGGAAACACAGACGTTTCCCCAATAAGCAAAGGTTCTTGCTTGCTGCTGTCCATGGCAATACTGGATGAGTCACTGATTCCTTTGTGTAAATGCTGTTTCTTAAAAATAGAAGCAAGAAAGATTTTTCAAAATCAAATTCAAATTTAATTGATGTAATTCTTTTTATTTTCCTTCAGCTTACAGATATCTCTTCAAATAGGAAACCCAAATGCTTGTATGTATTTCTCTTTACAATTGCACTATTTTTGATTTGCATGTTTCCTTATTGCAGTTTATATAAAATCTGTAATAATAATAGGTTTCAGTGTCTCCAAATGAAAATTTATCTGATTGTATACTTTATTTTATAAAATATTTTTGTGTGTGACTTTCAGTTATACCAATAGTCTATTAATATATGGCCTTATGATAGTATTATAGGAATACTTTTGTAGTACTAAATAACTTCCTATCATTGAAGCATAGCATTGTCATACACTATACTATATAAATATAATTGTGTAATACAATTAATATATCCATATATTTGTATTCTGTCATCTTGCGTACTAGTCATCTTAAATTTCATAATAGCTACAGTATTATGTATAGGATTATAGTATAGCTGTACTTGTCTGAGTACATAGTAGTCTCTTAAAGAATCAGAGGAATGAGCACTGATCCCATCTTCTCTGTAGACCAACTGTGTTATCATGAGTATCCACTTCAATTTTCTATACTTCAATTTTACCACTGGGGTTAAAAATATTTCCTGGCAAGTTCAATACCATGAGATCATTTCACAAAGGTCAAAATAAATTTAGGAAGAAAAATATATATACATATGTGATTTGTTTTATGAGTAACATTCTCAGTACTCTCTCAGAGGTGATTGTATCAGGGATAGTTTTTGTCTTTTTAGGGTTTTTGAAGAATTATTTTTCTGCTCATCTCCCTCCTTCCATTTGACCCTCTGTAGAAGCCGAGGACATCCCCATTCTGGATGTAATCACCTGGATCTCAAGACCCATTTTCATCTGAAAGGAAGGAGCTACCTGAAGAAAGCCAAGGACGACAGAGCCAGCATGCAGCCTGCAAAGGCCATTCACGAGCAGCCTGAGTCCCCAAGAGAACTCTGCAGACCACCAAAGAAAGGGGAGCCTTTGGGGTTCAGCCGGAAAGGCAATATCAGACCCAAAATGGCCAAAAAGAAGCCAGCCGCAATTGTGCACATCATTTGAAAGGGCGGGTGGGTCTGGGCAGCTATCACTGAGCTTTGGGAAATGTTTTAGAGTCTGAGCGTAGTGTCCTTTTGGACACATCATTGTAAGAAAGCAAAGGGCATTGCATATTTATTTTGCATCTACACAAACACCTAGATTAACCAGATTTTAACAGACGTATTACAGGCCCACTTGCAACTAAGAGGCAAATTACAAAATAAAGTGGGGACAAAAATAAAAGCAGTCTTATGTCCGTTTTTTAGTAAAATGAAGCTCCTGTTCCTGAAGTAGCCCTGTATCCCATAATTTCCATGTATGAGATTCTATACAATGGTCCTTAAACCTCAGTCCAAAGGTCAACCAAGATTTCAGGTCGTAGAAAGAAATTTTTCTGTGCCCACTGCTGTCTGAATTGAGAATTAAAATCCTAAATAAAGGTAATTTTGTTTGCTTTAGCATTCCCCTCAATTACTTAAAGTGCCCACAAATAAGGGTTCCTTTTGTGTCAGGTATTCTGGTTAATCAAGATTGTAGTGTTTGGATTACGTCAGGGACTCATCCAGTCAGACTCCAGTTCTCCTTTCAGTGGGCTCTTTTCCAGCTTGTGTGATTCCAGTATTTTGTTTTCCGGGATGCCTGTTTATTCTGATTTTGGTGCACCTCAGCTCTCTTCTTTGGATGAACAATCTGCCTTTTGAGACTGCTCCATTTTACCAGCTCTTTCTCTTGCTGTGGATGGAACGCTAACTCACCATCAGCCCCAGTGTTAGTTCGGGAGCACGTGGCTGAATGCCAGTGGAGTGAGTGCACCTTCTGAGCCATCTTAAGGACATGTGAATGTTTGAAGCTGAGTTCTCTCACAGCCTGCTTCCCTGGTGGTGTTGTCAGCAGCCTCTCTGTCCCTTGCAGCGTGACTTTCTCCTTACTGACCCAGCTGTCCCACTCACTGCCTTTCCTGTGGCTCTTTTATGAGTCCAGGACGCATTCTTACCTTTCAAACGAGTTGCTGAGGAGTTCATTGGCCACTGCTTTCTAAAGTGGTTTCTGAAATGAACAGCACATGTGGGATCCAGAATCTGAGCCTGTCCTTTGCTTCCCTCCCCAAACTGACCTTTGTTTTCCACAAAAACCATATGTTAAGAATCTTCTGCTTTATGGTTTTCTTCATGAATGAATTTCTGTGCTACTCTTTGTTGTTGCTTTTTAAATTTAGCAATTTTAGCAGATTCATAGTTTTCACGTGCTGACACCCTTCTGGAAACAAGAATAATGAAGTCCACAAATATATACATATATACATATAGAACATATAAAATATATGTCAAGTATATTAATAATTTATTTTTAAATACTCCAAACTGTGTATGTTTGTGGTGGGTGGGTTTAATTCTGTGTGTTAGTTCATGTAAATTGAAATCTCCTGTTTTAAAAATTAAAACTGTAACCTAATTAAAATTAGTAGAATTATAATTGTTACTGCAATAAGCATCAACTTAGTAGTTAATTAAAAATAGGCAATAAAGCAATTACTTAAAATGCCAGTACACTTAAAAATTCACTTATCGTTATACAAACATGTTGAACCTATTACAGTGGCCATGTTGATTTTCGAATATTCACTCTTGACTTTTGGCTCATGGGTGGGTCATACATGGCGGTGTTTAGGTAACTATCAAATGAAAAACATTGCTGTGAATATCATCACTGTTTAGGCTAACGTTGTAAAATTGTAATGATTATAATTTGTGGAATTAACCTCCTCCAAAGTTATTTATTGTTGATATTTAAACCTGATTGCACTTTAGCTTTTTAAATACTAAAAAATTGACTGTATTGCATGCTTTTGTCTTGTAATGTGTGTGTGCAGAGATGAAAACTTGCTTTGAAAACTGGTATAGCCAGGGTTTATTTTTATGTATTTAATGTAACCTACATATTCAATTTTTATTTAATAAGCCTAGAGAGCTTAAGTGTTTTCGCTGACAGTGGTACCCAGTGATCTTCAGAAAGCGGCATAAAGTCATCACTCTTACCTACATTACACAAGGCAAATTATTTTTAAGATTTATTGTACTAAAAACAATGCATTAAGTTTCTACTAAATTCATACCTTCACACAAGGAAGTATATTTTGTATATTGTACTTCCTTAGAGATACAAGTTTGCTGTTGAAACATGGGAGCTGGCTCACTCCATGGAAAACTCCATTTACTTGCCAGGGCCTAAGCCGTGTGCCACGTTCCACCGGTTTTTTGCTTTGTTTTGTTTTGGGGGGTCATGCCCAGCAAATCTTAGGGCTTACTCCTGGCTCTGCACTCAGGGATCACTCCTGGCAGGCTCGGGGGACCATATGGGATGCTGGGAATCAAACCCGGGTAGGCTCTACCCACTATACTAAGCTCTGGCCCCTTGGGTCTTATTTTTTAATATTTTCTTTGTCCGTGAGGACAGTCAATCTTAGAAATTTTAGTTTTGTTTTGTTTTCAACAAATCACTAAAGTTTCTCAGAAAACATGTTCAGGGTTAAACTGAAGAATGGATCTAATTTTATTTTTTTGTTTTGTAAGAAAAAACTGTTCTTTCTTTTTTCCTCCAAATAGGTTACAGATTCTTAACTGTGAAGTTCAGATTGTTTAGACACTGGCTTCCAGTATTATGCAGGGTCAGTTAATGTATAGAAGTTGGAATATTGTTCCCAGAATTTTAAAAGATTTTTAGATTATAAAATATTATAACAATAAAACTATATTTCTGACTAATGTGTTGGTATGTTTGTCTCATTTAAATGTTATTGGGAGCAAAGTATGTTGGTCCATTAATAGTGAACCGAACAGCCCTCCAGGAATAACTATTAATTGTACATATAATCACTATGATCTCATACTTGTAAGCTTTCTTGAGAGCTTTGTTTTTGTTTATCATAATGTCGATGTCTGAAAGTTCTTTTTATATATTTTCACACTAAACATCTTCATTAAAAGCCCATTGGCACTTACTATCTATCTTCCTCCAAAACTAACTATGAGTAATTTTCCTGCAGCATATCGGTGGGGCATTTGCCTTGCATGTGGCTGACCTGGCTGACCCAGGTTCAATTCCTCCACCCCTCTCAGAGAGCCCAGCAAGCTACCGAGAGTATCTTGCCCACACAGCAAAGCCTGGCAAGCTACCCATGACGTATTTGATATACCAAACACAGTAACAACAAGTCTCACGATGGAGACTTTACTGGGCCCGCTTGAGCAACTCAATGAATAATGGGAGGACAGTGCTATAGAGTGCTATAGAGCTACAATTGACGCTGAACTAAATCCATGAACAAATTTCAAACTGTGCATTATAATCTCATCTACATATGCAAACCCAGAAGTTGATCAGGACAGATATCAGGTACTGAACATACTACAGACTTATATTATGGGTAGAATTGCTTAGTCATCAACTCTAAAGAACCTGGGAGCAGGAAAATTTAGAAGACGTCATTTGCTCAGGATGTATTAGAGCTTTTAGAAAGATTGACTTCAGTCTGTTCTTATGTTTACACATGCACATTAAAGCTAATGGGTTTCCCAGGTCCTACTGTTCTTGAGAAATAACTAGCATTATCATTATCTCAGGGAATCCAGAAAATATAAATCAGCCTTGGTATCTCAATTCTGCTCATTCTGATCCTTGAAATATAAGAATGCCAGAGATAGTGTATGTCCAGAATCCCAAATTATTTCAAGTATTTAATTGATGAGGCAATTTTAGGTGCAGTTATTTTATGAGGTGTTAACATGGTGGCATATTCTTCCTCTTTTTTCTTTTGGTCCTTGTCCTTTATCAATAACATTTATGCATCTGAAATTTTCATTTAAGAAAAGGATCATTAACCTGCAGTCCTACATTGTGTTTACTCTGCATTTGCAACCATTATTACAGGACAGAAATGAGGTTTTCCATTAGAAAAACCTCATGCAGAACAGACACAACTCTCCTGCCAACACTAATTGAGACACTGGTAAATGCTATCTCTGTGGAGGCAGATGCTGGGATGGTGCATGAGGACTCATACACATGTCCTGTGATAAGAGATATGATTGCTGTCTTCAAATATCTGGTGTTGTCCCATGCGAGAATATTTATTTTGTATGACTGCCATTACTAATAAGATGTAGGTACCAAGTTATTGAGCAAAAATGTCTAAGTGCAACACAGTGTAGCTCACCTTGTTATTACATGAGCACCTGCACACATTTGTGATGCAGATTCTTCACTACTCCTCCCTTTGTGGTAGGTGGAATTCTCAACTGGTAAGGAGATGGCACTTTTGAATACCCAAAACTCTAAAATTCTATTATATGTACCAATATGAAATTATTGTAAATGTTGATCACTTAAAAGTGTTGACCTGAGGGATTTATTTTGGAAATTTTATTTCACTAACTTGGACTTTGTAAAATTGTTTATAAGATGTATCTTACTGGAATACTTTTGAGGCAGATAGCAATGAGGAGATATCTTCTCTTAGCATGTGCAGAAGCACATTTGGAGAATAAGTCAGGCACCATTGAATCAAACCCAGGTCAGCTGCATGCAAGGCCTATGCCTGACCTGTTGTACCATTTTATTTTTATTTCTTTTTACTTTCCATTTTGTGTGTGTGTGTTGCATTGTCACTGTTACTGTCCTCCTATTGTTCATCGATTTGCTCGAGCGGGCCCAGTAACGTCTCCATTGGAGACCTTGTTGTTACTGTGTTTGGCATATCGAATACGTCACGGGGAGCTTGCCAGGCTCTGCTGTGCGGGCGAGATACTCTCGGTAGCTTGCCGGGCTCTCCGAGAGGGGCGGAGGAATCGAACTCGGGTTGGCCATGTTGGCTGCGTGCAAGGCAAACGCCCTACCACTGTGCTATCGCTTGCATTGTGGTGGCAGGAATCAAACCAAGGAATCCACACGTACAAGGAAGACTCTGCGTTTGTGCAATATCCCTCACTTGTATCTTATTTTCCATAACTTTCCTCTATATTTTCCATAACTTTGTGAAATTTTTTTGTTAATAGAAAAGGGTAACTGTGCTTACTGAAGATTCACAAACTGATATGCTGTCACTTAATAGAATGGAATCTAGGTTTAGTTCTCATTTTGTACTTCCAATAAGTTTTACAATGATTTTCAATTCAAGATA